AAACCACAAATGAAAAAAGATTATGATTATGGTACCAACTCACAAAAAGTACTCATTACAAAGCCATCCCCTCGCCAGTCACCACTGCTCCTCTTCTGTTAACACAGTGGAAGGTGATGGTAATGCACATATTTGGACTGCCTAATATTTTGCTACAGAAGGTGGTTGCATGTACTAAACCAATGCTAAAGAAGTTTCTTAACAGAACAAGTAAGGTTCTAATGAATTGCAGAAGAGGTTCCAGTGAGAAAGGCTGAGTCAGAAGCTCATATATTTCTCATAAAGTAGAAGATGGCACAAGCTTCTCAACACTACTTCTCCAAACCAGCACAAGACAGCAGAAATCAGCTCTTATTGTGATGTCAGACAGAAGCTTCCACAATATCTGCTTCAGATCAGACTCAGCAACAAATTTGCTTCACTGGTGAAAAAGTGTCCTCTGGGAGAAGGTGCTCAGGATTCAACCCTGCTGGCCAAGCAAGAGGAGTGTTGAAACACACACAACCTTTCCTGGTCTTTTTCAAGACGAAATTAACTCCCAACCACCCCCAAAGCAAACAGGAACTGGAATATACAGCAAAACTTCCCTTACAAGAACTTTTGTCTTCACTGATCAAGCTTGTTAAACTTAGTCCTCTCTACAGAACATCCATTAAATAAAAGAAGTGCCCATACACACTGAAAAATGTGTCTGAACAGCCACAGGGAACAGATTCCCAGTGAGTTCCAGTAAGACAAGCGAGAAGAGATAACAGCAAATCCACATTCTGCTCCAAGTGGACTAAAGAAAACAATGTGGTACAAAAGTAAATGTTTTATCAAAACACCAATGTTACACCTCAGAGCTTGTTGGTTTGTATGCATTTCCTCTTATTTAATGCTACATAATGCAAATTATTTATTTGATTTGATGATGTCTTGGGTGGCATGTCCATAGTTAAGATAATTTTTTTAAAATTTTCTTTATAATTTTAAAAAAATATACTGTAAGTGTGGTATGTAGAATTTTTATATTTGAAATTATCTAAATAGCTCAAGATACTTATGGAAGCATTAGGAAGAGGAAAACACCAAAAAGAGGCAAGCAGAAAAACTGGCATTCCTAGTAGATTCTGAAAAAAAAGGAGTGACAGTAACTAAGGCTAAATACAGGTTTCCAAAATCAGCTTAAATCTGTAACTGAGCTTCCCTTTCTACGAAAACTTCTACACAACTTATATTTTAATCTGTAAAATGGTTTTATGGTTTCTCTCCATATTCTGGGGTATTACTGTTTTTCTGCAACAGAAATTGGCTTCAACAAGAGCCCAAGAATAAATAAAGTACATGAAGTGTGTCCCTGAAACCTCCCAGCAGCCAGCACTTCAGCCAGGCTGTACCACTCTCCTGAAGAGATATGAAGCCTTGCCAACCACATGCAACCTTCCCCTAGAGAGAGCAGAATTACAACAGAAATTGTGTGCAAAGAAATGAAAGACCACCAGAACTAGAGGCTGAAGCCACTGCAGGATGATATGAACTTATCAACAGGAAGGAAACAGATTTTTTTTCTTAACTGGAGCTTAAACAAGATTTTCTAGAGAAAATGGTTTTGCTTAAATAATTTTTTAAAAATGGAAAAAAGTTGTGAGCTTTCAATACTGAGTTTGTGACAGCAGTTAGATCCACCCTAATTTAAGGCATGCTACATGTTGCTAAAAATTGTAATAACAACTATGCAATCCATAGCCAAATTTCAACAGTACTTTTCCGTTCATGCATAATTTTTAAAACTAGTTACTGTTAACAATAATTATATAAATATATATGAATATATAATTAAATCACAAACTATCAATGAGGAAACAGACCTCTCCCTCCGATCTGTCTGTGAGCCAGAGGGAGAAAGCGGCAGCAAGGAGGGATTGATGGACCAGTAATTCAGCGAAAGTCAGGCATGAACAGTAACCTCACTCGAGGAACACCTGTTAGGGTAACATTCAAGGCACTTCCACTCATCCGTTTAGGAATTTATCCACTTGCCACATATCCATTTCAAAGAGCCTATAAAGGGCTCCATTAGCACCTGAAGAGCTCTTGTTTCACAGCAGGAGAGATGCTATCTAAGACTGTGAAAACCTCCAAGAAAAAGGAAAGACACTAACATTAACAACTCCAGAAGAGAAGAGGAGGAAGGACAAGAAGGCACAGGCACCCGGCTCTCTGAATTTCAGCTCTCTGTTCACTGGCGACAGCCAGGGGCATCCCTGTGGCTCTGACACCGAGCTCCGGGAGCGCAGCTGCTGCCCGGGCTAAGAGCATCGCTGCTCGCCAGCCTGCGCTCAGCCACGGGCACAGCCACGCCGGGGACATCCGCTGTCACCCCAGACACACAGACTGAATACAGCCACGCTGGGGACATCCGCTGTCACCCCAGACACACGGACTGAATACAGCCACGCCGGGGACATCCGCTGTCACCCCAGACACATTGACTGAATACAGCCACGCTGGGGACATCCGCTGTCACCCCAGACACACGGACTCAATCCAGTCTCCGGGTTCTGTGTTCTGCCAGTGACAAAGGCCTTATAACCAAGTTCATAACATCTTTTTATACCACCAAAGCAGGGTAAGGAGCTCCGCGGTGCTGCCAAGTACACCTGACACGCTTACCTCCAAACTTTGCAGATTTCAGCGTGATTGGAGTTTGTTTACGGGGGCGCCAGAGCGAGCACAATGCCCATGCCGACATCCGAGCTCTCTGCTCGCGAGGGTCCCGCTCCAGCTAGCGGCGGTGTTCGGGGCACGCAGCCCCCGCTCCGGGGCCAGGCCCGGGCCCTCCGCCGCCCCTCACGGCGCAGGAGCCGGCCGGGGCTACGGCGGGACCCCCGCCCGCCCCGGGCTCCCAGGCAGCGGGGTCACTCGGGCACCCCAACGTGCGCAGGGCGACGGGAGCCGAGCGCTCGGCCTGGTGTCCCCGGAGCCCCGCCAGGAGCTGCCCCACGACCGCCCGGCCCCTCGCCGCGCCTCGGGCCACCGGGCCTGCGCCCCCGCCGAGCCCCCTCCGCTCCGCGCCGGGACAGCCGCCAGCCCGCGCCCCGCAGCTTCCCCCCGCCGCCCGTGTCCGGCCCGGCCCGCGGCTCCTTCCCGCCTCCCGACCGCTCCAGCGCTGCCCGTCCGGCGTCAACTTACTCGGGGAGGCTCCGCGTCCTGCTCCCGCCGAGCCCGGCCCACAGCCTCGGCCCCCGGCGGGGGCGGCGGCGCCTGTTGCTCCATCGCGCTCCTGCTCCTCCTCCTCCTCCTCCTGCGGGGGCCGGGGCCGCCGCCGCCCCCGCCAGGCCGATCCCACTCCGGCCCCCGGCGCCACGTTCCGGGCCCGGCTGAGTGGGACCCGCAGTGCCCCGGCCCCGCCCAAGAGCAGCGCTCGCCTCTCCGCGAACACGGCCGAGCCCCGTCCTCACGGAGGATACGGCTCCAGCGCCGCTCTGTCGCCAGACGGGAGGGGACCGTCGGCCAAAAGCAGCGGCAGTTCGAGAGTAAGAGGGGCCCGCAGGGACCGCCGGTGGTGATGCTGGGCACGGATGACGCCGCACTGGCCAGGCACAGCAGCCTCAGCACTTCGGTTAACCCAAGTCTTCCAAATGCTGTGACCCATCCCAGCATCTTGAAATGAAGAGGCAAAATGGATTATGCTGAAGACTCTTGGGCTGTGGGTAATAAGTGATAAAGAAAGGATTTCTTATCTATCTGAAAATTGGATGCCACCTCACCATAGTGAAACTTACTCTTCCATAGAAAAAAAATTAGTCTGAAACTTAAGAAAGTTTTCTGCAATCAAATGATGAACACGTGGCCAGCAGCCCAAAGGCTTGCCATCAAATGAGTGAGATCAACTTTAGGATATCATTGGAAAGCAGGTCTTAGTCAGGACCCAGGAAAAGGACCCAAGCAAAGCAGTCACTGATTATTTAACAACTGTGGGATATAAAAAAAGATGGAGGAATAAATTATGGAAGTTTTCTATTTCTATCTAAAAAACAAATTAACAGTGTAAGTAGGAGCTAGGGAATTACCTTCTCATCAGCAATGATGCAGGTCTTTTTAAAGTAATGGGTAACCAAAGCCCAGAGGTATCAGCTTTTGCACTACACCAGGACACAAATCTGGCTCAGTGCATCCTGTGATTCTTTTATGTAGCAAATGGCAGCTGTGTTCCCTTCTACTTCAAATGAGCTGCAACAACCACCAGAACTCCCTGAGGACATGCCACTGACAGATTTGCACCCAAGGGCACATCCCCAAGGACAGACACACCTTTGTTCCATCACCCCACTGCCTCTAGAGTGGACTGCAATCAGTGGTATTGTTTCCATCCAGATGCCCATGGATGATTCTCCATCCAATCAATTAAAACAAGTATCAATGTACAAGAATCAGCATTTTATCATTAACATTGGTTAACATCAAATATATCAAAACAAGATCTCTGCAAGGGGCACATACAGGAAACGTGACTCATGAATATCTTAATTCCTCCTATCTGACATGGGTTTATTCCATAATGCATTAGGTTTTATTCTTTATAAATCAACTTAGAGTAGATGCCTTTAACCAGAAGTGCATGTTGGAGAACAGAGTTACTAAACTGTTCTTTCAGTCAGTTATGAAGTTAATAATCCTTTAGTAAGCAGCACACAGTTCAAAATTTTCACCTAACAGACAAGCCAGTTTTTCCTCTCTCAGTTCAGTTCCTAGTTCTTCCCCAACAGGAATTTATACATCTTCATTTCATCTCTTGTTATCAAGTTTCCTCTTGCTCATCCCTCCTCTGGGAAATAAACATGGTACACGCACGTTAAAACACCATGCAGATGGGAATTGTTGCTTTGGAAGCCAATCAGCCCCATCCCAGTGCACAGTGCTGTGATTCTGCCAGTCCAGCATTCACTGTGGAGCTTTACCCGAAGCCCAGAGCACCTCAAGGTCCATCAGAAGTTTTACATCTCTACTGAATAGTCTAAGTGTCCTCAGAAGTCTGTGGGCAGCATTGTGTCAGGTAATGCTGTGTCTCAGGCAAAGCTCAGCAAGTTTAGTATTCCTTCTTCATCTGTTAGGACTAAGCATTATTTCCATGCCTAACCTAGAAATTGGAAAAGAAGAAAGAGAGAATATAGGTGGGGTTGAAGCTAGCCTAAAAAAGTGTTAGTAGCTTAGTTCAGGAGTTTTTCTGATACTTTCCTCGAGTCAGACAGCTGGATGGACTAGAACATGACTAATTGTGCAGATTCTCATGCATTCACAGCAGTCACTTCAGTCTTACAAAGTTATTTTTATTTGAAAATTACACATCTTCAACAGTTTATTCCATTATTAACATTTTTCTTAATAAAAAATTCTGCTCTCCATAAAAAAGCTGTCATTAACAAAGTCATTTTCTCTTCCTTTTCACCTCACTTTCTGATAGGAGGTAGAAGGAACAGCACGCTTAGCAGAGCCATTGTCTTCCTCATTCTCATGGGGACGCTTTCTCGTTGTGGTTGGCTGGAAGAAAAACACAGGAGGATGGCTCCAGGAAACCAGGTAAGGCAGAACCTGACTTTCTGCTTGCTCCAGAACTAGAGGTGTTGGACAGTGTGACCAAAAACCAACCCATGTTTCTCTCCTAAGATCCATCTAATTATATTTGATGGTTCTCATATAAGATATTGCTCCCAGCTTCAAACAGCTACTGTCCATAATTTTCCTTATTAGCATCCACTGATGAATGGCACAATGCTGTCTAACCTTGCACCAGCATGAGAATTTTTACTTCAATACTAAACATTAGTGACTTGAATCCATTAAAAAGAAATACATTCAACCATTTTATTCTAAATATAGGAATAATCCTTTAAAGCCTAGGCAAGTGTTTCTATACATTTAAACAAAGTGTTGACAAAACATGGAAATCCATGGATACTCTTCAGGAAACAGAACTAACCATACAGCCCAAGGGTACATTTCTCTAAAGTCTCAAAATGAACTGCTTTTTTTATTAAAGATTACTTCAAAATCTAGTTTCTCTGTACATCAAATATTAATTTTCAAATATCTACTGCACATACCATTTTTGATGTTTCTGGTGGATTCATACTGGTACGTGTCTGAGCAAGTAGCTGTTCAAATGTAGTTTTCATATCCTCATCCTGCAAAAAACCCCAGCATCTAAGTAGTATATAGAATATTTAAGGGAATGGCAAAGATTGGGAAACTCAAAGAGAAGTGAATGGGACATTCAGTGCTAGAGACAATTAGAAATAAAGATCATTGAGGTCCTAAGGATTTCAGCTGGATTTTTTTTAGGTGAAGGCACTGGAGAGGGTCCTTTTCCAAAGCAATGGAGTATTGCAGTATCTCCTTTTTTATTTAACTATTCTTAAGTGCCACAAAAAGGATTTTACTTGAATATCCATTTAATTTTATATAGAATTTTGACTTGTTTTTCTTTTCCAGTGTCACCTGATTTGATTTTGGCTACATTTGAATTGATGGATAAGGTAAGAAATATTTTTCCATTGATGCAACAAAGACCTGTGGTTTTTCTTCAGCATGCAACCAAACTAATCTTGTCCCAATCAAAAGACTTCAGTGAAGATTTCAGAGGCAGAAACAGCAATAAGTGTTTATATGCCTTTAAAAATGTTTAATTAAGTAAATATAGATAAGAAGACATTTCCACTGAGCAGTACTTAGGTTTACACAGCTCAACAAGTCTTTAAAGTTCTAGATTTAAGCAAAGAATAAACAACTTGTTTTGAAAACACTAATTTGAAAGCACTACTAGTTTAAATAAATCTGCAGAACATGCTTACTTCTAGTACCTGAAAAATTCCCTAGTGGCCCCAAAACCATCAGAGGGCTAACAGGCATCAGCTGGCCAGAGAGAATATGGTTTTTCCTGCTGACTTGTAAAGTCGATACTCCCAGACAACACAAGAGGGAGAGAAGAGTCAGTAACTCCTCACTGCTCACAGGAACAGGACTGGGGAGCTCTTTTGGTGATATGAGATGTGTGATATCTAGAACTGAGCATGCTGGATGCTGGCCTTCCAAGCAGTCTACATCACCCATGAACACCTGATACTCCTAACAACAGCCCCTGGAGGGAAACAGCTCAAAGAACAGCAGCTGAGTGCTAGATGACATCTGGATTTATGGCTATGATGTTTTCTGGAACCTTCTGTCCTGTCTTCAAAATTAAACTTAACAGTAAGAGATGTCCTTACATGGAATATAAAATCAAGTTAATAAAAACTTGAATATATATATATATAAATATCTTAAATTCTTAGCTCATCTAAATCAGTCATCTATTTCCCCTTGCCCCTTATGCATACCAGCAATTTTTAAAATCAGTGTTGCATGGTTTCTGAATAACTTTTTCTGCTCAGATTTGTAATTCAAATATAAGAATCTATATCTGATTAACTAACTATAAATGTTACATACAAAACTACAGTAAGTAAAACCCATGAATGCCTGGAAATGCTTCCTGATGCCCACGAGCATAATCAAGACAAGTTAATCACTTTAAAAAGTAATCCACACATGTTTTTTGTCTCAGAACACTATCAGCTGTTGAGCACTGAGAGATACTCCCTTGCTGCCCTCATTTCTTATGCTCTTTACCAAAGCCTCTGAAATTCTCCTGTTCCCAGTGGGGGAACAGGAATAGCCTTGTGCTTGGTGTGAATAAACAGAACCTGTTGCATGGCTCAGATGTAGGCTGGGTGACATTTTTCAGCCTCTTCAAGCAAAAATATTCAAGAAATCTCATAGGTTCAATGGATACCTCTGCCAAAATTAAGTAAAGACCACCTAAAGACTATCCCTCTCAAACCTAATTAGACTGTAACAGGAGGCAGGGAAACCATCACTTCCTACTCAGAGGATTCCCAAAGCAGGGACACTTATTCCTGCACAGCAGAATAAAAACAAACTAGCATTGGATGCTTGCCAGAAACAAAGTGCACTGCCTGCCCACACAAACATCTGAGGAGATGGGGCTCAGTTCCAGTGCTCAGAAGGAGAGGTCCATCCTACCAGAGCCACAGTCAGACTGGGGCTCTAAGAAACACGTCTTGATCTCACATGTGAAAGAGTTCTGGGCAGAGGTGTCTCACAAGGGATGCAGAAGCTGCTCATTGTATTGAAAGGAGGTATTCAGGAGACTACTCCATGCTGCTTTTGCAGTCTCTCTACAGGGACTAAATCTTTGAAAACACAAGACAAGTTATCCCTCAAATAACACAGCTTTCACTTAAAACTCAATTCCTACCTGAAGCCAAGGATGCTCTAAGGCCTCTTCTGTGGTAAGACGTTTGCTTGGATCCACTACTAACAGCTTCTTCACAAGATCCAGAGCTAAGACAATAAAATGAGCTGTAATCAATACACTCATTACCTGAAATTTGCCTACACCAAAACTCCCTCTGACAATGTGCCTTACACCCCTTCAGGGCAATGCACACAAGTGCAGGCTGGGCAGATCCCTTTTCTTTTTCTGTGCATGGGAAGGGCTGCAGACTGCAACCATCTCCCTTTCACATGCACATGACTCAACACCTCTCAGTATACCAGAATTACCCTTAAATATATTTATCATACACAGTTTATGTTCTGAGCATGCACAGGAGGCTCAGCACTTCCCTAAAAGCTTCAGTATTACTGTGGAAAAGCAAAGACAGCTTAATTTATCCTGGTTTACAGTGTCTGGGAAAGCAGATTATCCATCTGGGAAAGTGGGAGAGAAGAGACAGGACATACACATGTATGCTCAACATAAACTTTCATCTTCTTAGGAAGCTGCTTAGTAGACACTGTGAAAAATATGGCATTTATGTTGTATTTCATTACTCCAAATCTCCCATAAAGGAATTTCAGCAAGATTTACTTTTCATTTGATCAGATTATTCTGAATACATATCAGAAGGACTAAGTACAATCTTAACATAATTTCCATTCTCATGAATGTCTGATTTAATACTGAATAAGCTCCAAACTATTCAGGAAGAAGTTATATTTGATAAGTGTATTAGACAAAGGATGACCATGTAATTTATTAGAAACTCCTCTGCAGATAAAAAGAAGTGTCCAAGGTAAATACTACAATTATTTTGTGCAGATAAAATGTCCTGAAAAACTAAAAGCACACAGACAGTAATTATCATCATTTTAGTTTGCTATGCAAAAACTCAGTTTCACAGACTGCTTCACTTACAGTGGGCCAAACATAATAGATGATTCCTCAAATGTGACTGACACTTTCAGCTCAAACACTAGCACCATGAAAGGACTCTCTTGGAACGTTTGTTTTTTGGAATTCTAACTCGTATTCCTTAAATTCCTGGTATTTTTGGTTCAACACTTGAAGAATCTTTAGGCAATGTCTGTAGACCAGCTTGATAAAGTCAGAAGAAAAAGTGAAAAGAGGAGAAATAGATGTATGTGCCCACAAACTCTATACTTGTGTGATTAATTATGCTAAATGCTACTAAGAAATCTCTTCAATAATAAAGTATGTGCTCTTTCTAATGCTTTAACTATGAACTTCAAAAAATATTTTTAACATATTAGCTTAAAAACTAGACATATTAACAAACAATGTGCCATGCAGATGAAAGGAGGATAAAGGAAAATAAAAACTACAAGAAAAGAGGTAGATATTTTGCTACCCACTGTGCTGGAGTCATACCCATGTCTGACACATGCTTCCACTCTTTTGCAATGAATGTGTATTTTCCATGAGTGATTTGATCCTTCAGAGAGAGCTGAGTATTTTGCTCATTGAATGGTGGATATCCACACAAGCTGTATAAAAGAAAAGAAGTTAAACAACACTGAATTTCTCATAGCAAATGAAACACTGAAATCACACATTTTAAGGCAGTGTTTTTATACTGTAGAGTTTTAAACTTTCCCTTCCTCATACAGACACTGAAGTTGCCAAGTCTCAAGCCATGTATGTCAAAGACTGCCCAGTGAAGGTACATCTACACAATATCTTACCATACAAAAAGAATAACTCCTAAACTCCAGCAGTCCACAGCTCGGCTGTATCCAGCAGTCCCAAGTGAATTTAGAACCTCAGGAGCAAGATACATGGGAGTACCACATAATGTTTTCATAAGAGAAGCTTCTCCAAGAATCTTGGATTGTCCAAAATCTGTAATCTTGTATTTAAAAATGGTAACACCACATTACATATTAGGATGGGCTGTACTAGAACACATCACATTGTAGACATACATCAGGAGGTAGCATTAAGTTTCTTCCTTCCAAGCCAGTTCCAGTACATGACTATGAATAGAAGTCATCTCAAACTAAATTATTAAGGAGGAGGAAGAGAGAGAAATATGACACAGGATCACAACTTACACTAGCAAAAAATACTCTCAGATTTGGATATAAATGGACAACTACAGAGTAAAGGTATTGTAGCCTATTAGAAGAGTTTACATTAAAAATAAGCATTTCAGCATGCAAATACAGTCAGTGCTTTCTCTGGGGGAAAATAAAAACAACACAAAAAAAAATCCACAACGCTAATTCCCCCTCCCCCCCCCAAAAAAAAAACCCAAAACAACAACAGAAAACATCACTGTCACCACACAGCCTGGACATTTGTGGGAATGCTGTCTGTAATTCAAGAATTTAGATTTTATTGGGGAAAAAAATCATTGACATTTGAAAATACATATGTAGTGTATGGGTTGAAATATCTATAAAAGTAAAATTACAATTATGAAAAAAAAGGCCTGTGTTTCAAGTTATTTCATGGTTTGTATGACTAATTCCATAATACCTTTTTGGCTGTGTCCAATGAAATATCAGTAAGAATGTGAAGGAACACTCCCAAATTTCTCCATTAACATGAAATGTAATTTTCCTTACCTTTACAATACATATCTCTTCAGAAGATGAAAGTAGCACATTTTCTGGCTTTAGATCTCGGTGTATAATTCCATTGTCATGAAGATACTAAATACATACAGATGGGAAATTAAGGAAAACCAGACTGTTAACTTGTTTTAAAATGAAAGCTTTCAATTTTTTCTCATGGCAATGGCAGGATAACAGAAATGGCTGTGTAAGAGGAGGGCAAACATTTAAAGCTCCCTAACATGGGACTGTCCCTTAAAAAAAGAAAGCAAAATGAAAACAAAACAAAAGAACCCAACCAAAACACCATCACAAAGAAGCAAAAAAGCACCTTAGAAATAATTATTCTTCAAGTGTCAAGTCTCATGCAGGCACAGTGTGCAGACCCACATTCTCTGTCAGCTTTGTAGGAATTCTGCTTTTCTGTCTCTCTCTTGTTAAACCAACTTGTTAAGAATGCTGTGCTGATTGCTTGCTTGGGTTTCAGCAATGGCAAGTGACAGAAAAATTGATCTTAGTGACTTTTTTTGGTAAAATTCACCATTATGTACCTTTACTGCCAGCAGCATCTGATAAAAGTACAACTTGCAGATATCTTCTTTCATCTTGACTGGCCTTGATACTCTGTCATACAATTCTCCTCCTTCCATCCTAAAACAAATGCAGGTTAACAAGCCAACATATAACTTCCAAAAGATTCTCATTAGACAAGACTAAGACCAAAACAATTGGCTATTCTGGCTACAGAGAAAGAACAGATTTCTGAAAATGAGTGAGCAACATCCTAAACACAGCACATGCATGGCTGAGGTAAGGTGAATCTCTTGAGTCTTCACTGGGAATTGTTATATGATTTTTGATCAGCCCCCTTTTATGAGCTCAAAAATAAAATAAAATAAAAAATAGCAGCAATCCACAACAACAACAACACCCAGGCCCTGAGTGCCTATAAAGCACAGAAGGAAGATTTCTCCTGGTTATCCTAGCTCCTAATCTTACAAAGGTTTTAGAGAAAAGTGGAGGCCAGCAAAAGGAAAACAAAATAAAAAAGCAAAACCTCCATAGTTCATTGTGGCTATGAAAAAAAAATTCATTTTATGCATTTATTTTCAAACAGGTTACTTACAGTTCCAAAACAATGTAGTAATCCTCTGCTTCAAAGAAATTTTTAATCTTGATTAAGCAAGGCTAACAGAAAAGGGAACACAGAGACACACAAAATAGAATAATTTGTAAAAATTAATCCAGAAGTTCTTATTTCACTATTTCAAACCAGGTCACTTAAGCTAACACTTAACACAAGTGACTTGCAGACCACACCCTCAACATTTTATCTATTTTACATGCAGAGGAAAGAGGGGATACAAATTCAAGAAACTGCCAGTGAAAACTAGTCTTTACATTTAGTTATTTTGCAGCATTTACAAAAACTTGCATCAAATAAAAATTTCTGCAACAGGGGCTCAGTTAAAACTTCTCCTGTGATGTTTCTTCTCAAATTTATCTCAGTTATCCAAAGCTTTAAAATCTCAAATCTGCTAGGATATAATACACTCAAAAGAAGAAAAAAAAGACCCATTCAATAATCTGCAAGGGAAATTATATATCTCCTTCAACACATTTCTGAATGGATAAAATTGCTCTTTCATTACTACACTAAGGTCAGTAAACTAAACAAATACATACAGGAGGGAGCAAAAAATAATAAAAATATACAATAATACTCACATGATCTATTTTCTTCAAAATTTCAATTTCTGTATTGATATTTAAACCTGGGTTCTATTAAAAGAATCAAATACCATATTGGGTAAGACAGAGCTGTTCTGGAATAAGACATATGAGAAATAAGAGACAGTACCAGAAAAGGGAATAGCCTTTTGCTATTCTAAGTGACCATAACATACAATTTTTTTTCCACAAAATGATCAGATACCTTCAGTGAATTAAATAAACAGAGTGCTGTCAATATCTGGAGTGAGATATTGCTCCAGACATGTAATTTCACTGCAGGTTAGAAATCCCCAACTAACTTTCCAATTAAAAAATATAGAATTCTTTTTGCTCATATACTTATATTTAAATAGCTTTTCTCCCTCCAAGATGCTTTGCAGATGGGCCAACCTAAAATTTCATGCTACTATTTTGCAAGATAACATAAACAGATTCTCTAACCCGTGGCTTAGACTCAACTAATGAAATCAGCTCAGCAGGGATTTTTTTGCTCTTCTTCCAGTCCAAATCAATCATCTTGGAACACACAACTTAACCCATACACAACATTCCAGATATACTCCTGTGTCTGTTTTGTAGAAGAACATGTATTGGTAATTATAATTCACAACAGCATCTTCAGCCAGTTTTCTTTGCTCTTCTCCAAGTTATGGCTTCTGCCATTAGACCTTCCCAAAAGGCTCCGTACAATTTTCTTAAAAAGTATTATGATGGAACATTCAACAAAATTAGCTTCATTGGTACATTTTTGGTCAAAACTCTGCTGGTTATCATGTGTCTATCTGATGCATTTTAGGACATAAACCAAACCCTGCAAGACACCACACCACCCCTTGTATACATCCCACTAACAGTCCTAAATGATGAACCTAATGGAATGTGGTCAAGGAATAAAATCAAGAATTCTGCACATCATACAAGATCAAAAAGCGTTTTTAAATTAAATACTGAAGACATTGAGTAAGAAAATCCTCATTTGAAGACAGCTGAGGAGTCAGAGAAGTTACCAAATATTCCAAGACTGCTGCAAGGCGGCCAAGACAGACAAACAGACAGACAGACAACAACACTTACTTCATCACTCAGGCCACTTGCCACAAAGTTCCGTTTATTGATGATTTTCACTGCAACTTTGTTACAGGTGCTCTTCTCAAATGCCAGTTTGACTTCTCCACAGGCACCACTGAAACAAGAGCACAGCTCTGTCAAAAATCTGTGTAACAAGTGCAGGCAAATGAAAGCGTAATTTGGAGCTGGCTGCTTTCTAACTTTCTGAATAAGGCACATTGCCTGCTCTGAGGAAGTACTCAACAGTTAGAAAATCTACAGCACTTCTCTGGAAACATTCAAGAGTTAGAAAGTCTGTTTAAACACAAGTCTTGTCAAGGGCCATTCATTCAGGATTGCAGGAGTCCATACTCTGTTTGTAGCAGGAGTGCTGGCAGGGAGGACAAGCTCTGTCAGCGTTTCCTTTATGCAAAGGCATTTAGGAGAAGAGAACTTAGGAATGAGTTCTCTTAACACTGAATTGCACAAATCTGAGGAACAGATATGACAATACTTGTATTTTTACTAAATAGCAGTTATATTACAGAAAGAAATTATTCTATTTTCCACTCAGATTTGTTTCTACTTAATTATCCACCTCCAGATTCTTCCCTGACCAACTGTTTCCAAAAGAGAAAAAATAGCCCCCATTTAAAATAGCTTCTCTCTCCTTTTTCTTGGACAGTTCTTTTCCTTTTCATCTGAAGGCCTCAGCAGTGATATTGTAGGAAGCTATCTTCTGACAAAGTTCTTCCTTCTGCTTCTAATAACTGAGTAAATTAATACACAAACTTTAAAAACACAGTAAGAATTTACAGACTCCATTCCCTTCTACAGAAAAAAAACCCAACCAAAACAAAGCAAAACCTGGTTTTTGCAGTTGGTGGTAGGTTACAAACCCCAAACCAATTACAGAGACAAAGCCAAAATTCCTGTTTAAATTGTTGTCAAGAACATATGTATTCACATGTTTTCATTCATTTTTCCTTTTTTCTTTTAAAACAGCAGCTCGGTTAATACTGGTAATAATTCCAGCACAGGATACTGATACTGATAATGAAGTTCACCCTTTCTACTGAGGGAAGAAGGATGCTTACCTTCCCAAAGTCTTTGACATGATATATTTCTCTCTGAATTCTTTAGGAAACGTCATCTGATCATCCACCATAAGATCAGAAAATACAAACACTGGGAAGACAAGTGGAGATCATTTTCCTATTACTAAGTTTAAAATTTTTATTATAACCAACAGCTATGTTTTGTGAGCTTTTATGATCAACAATATAACTGAGAAAATACTGCCTGCTACAGGAAAATCTAAATATATGCTATATATTAAACCAGCTATGGGTTAGCAAGGTGATCTTATTGCTAAAAAAATTATGTTTTGGGATTAAATTTGCAGCAGTCTTTAACTAATTAACTACATTTAAGGACAAAAGGAGTAAAAATGTCAATGTCCCAGCAAAGATCAAAGAGATGTAATAATCAAGAAGTCACTTAGTGGAAAATCAAAGACAAAGAAACAGAAGCCCAGCCCTATTTATTTTTAAGAGGATTTTCTTTTTATTATGCATCTGCTTAGGTATCTGGGGGCGTTTTTTCAACTTTTCTTGAATAGTCTGTTTCCCCTGTTCCCACCATCATATGCACAGCTACTGAAGCCCAAAAGGGTTTCAAAAAAAGGAAAAAAAACTATAAAAGCTTCTACTCTAGTAAGGTGCTACCTGATGCATATTTCTTTAAGTTTTCTTTTTCAGGTTTTTTCCTAGGGTTGGCACGGATCATTTTTATGTGAGTAGTAAACACCTATTAATGAGATGTGCTCATGAAGCAGCTCAGCTCCCAAGAAACATACTCAGATTAATGCAGAAACAACCTCTTGGTCAATACATGAAAAATCCACTTAAGTTAAAGCACATTTTACCTTTATTGGTATGTACAGACAAAGCAATTTCAGAGTTGTGTGTCAGTGGAAGCCTCCTCCCTCTTCCAACGAGCTCTCTATTAACAAATGTCCCATTTGCACTGTGGTCTTCAATGTAGGCAACAAAGGAATTTTTTGGACCCATTTCCTCAAAGAGAAAAAAAAATGGGGAAGATGACAGTAAAGAAAAAATGACTTTACAATAAAGACGTGATACACTAGAAATTTACTATTGTTGACTCAAGAAGTGAGACTGAGTTTATTTCATAAAACATATGAATGGGGTAATGCCAAAAGTCACATTAAAGGAGTCAACCCTGAAGATACTTTAATTTCTTTAGGATCTCTGCCCCAAAGTCTCTTTTGGAATTAATAGACAGAGTTAACATTTTTAGCACTTACCCTGAAAATTCGGAAGTGCTTCTTGCTATAGTTTTGGTAGAAGCCAGTCTCAGACAATCCCAGCTTAGAAAAACTGTAATCACAGCTTTTGTCCCTCCCAAACCAGTACTCCTCATTGACACAGTCTGCAGAGGAGGGGCGGGTACAGCAGAGAGAGAAGACAACGTTGCAGGAAGTTAATAACTATGGCACTACAGAATGATTCCAAATAGTAATGGATAGGATAACAGAGACAAGATTCTTCCCATAGAATCAAGTTTGTCTTAACTCATACAAAGCACCACACCCTGTCAAGTCCTTTAATAATTTTACCCTCTTTAGCAGTAGTATTTTTCAGTTCACCATCAGCAATATAGAGACATATAACTAAATAAATTATAAATTTGTTTTAAATGAAGCATGTAACAAAGAATATGAACACCCCAGAATTTCTGTAAGTCAATGGCAGCTGTGTATCTGAGAACTCAGCGTAAACACTGGGATGTAGTATGGAATAAAACATTATAGCAAAAAGTTCCATACCTAAACTTGCTTGTAACTAATTTGAAAATGAAAGGACACTGCTCTTCAGCAAGCTGCTCAGATCTTTTCTGAGATCCTACAAAGAAACCAAGAGATTTATTACAGTATGCACCTACCACAGTTGCTGAAACCTTTTCCAAGTGCAAAGAGTCGACCCCAAGGCTGAGGAACCAGCTCTTCAGATTCCTGGTCCTCAGGGATGGACGGAAGCTCCTGAGTGGGAACAGTGTCCAAGGAACTGAGAGTCCCAGAACTTAAGGAAGACTGACTAGTGCTCTGTGACCCACTGGAAGAACTGGTACCACTCTGTGGCTGCTGGGCACCCTGAGACTGCTGTGCTTCACTTCCAGTCTCTCGAGACATGTTGGCTTCAAAGAGAATGTTAAAGAAACCGCAATTACTACAGCAAAGTAAAACTGGCAAACACTCACACACTGCACTATTAATGTCCAAGTCCATTCTCAGCCTCAAAGATGCAAAACTTACAACCAAAGCGTGCATGTCTGGGTTACAAGCAGCAAATTCCCAGGAACTGTGCGAACCAGGATGGTTTTCCTTTTAAAAGTCAACGTGGGGCGGCCTCTGCTGGTTCTAAAGCAGAACTAACCCCGATTAATTCCCGGATTGCTGCCGAGGTCACACAGGCACGGGCTGCGCTCTGACAGAGCATCCCCGCACGGAGCAAGGGACCACGGCTGGTCCCCAGCACAAGGAGGAAAACTGAAAGGAGTAAGAACTGCAAAGCGGCACAGGTTTTCTTGAAAGCCCCCGAGAGATTTATCACACCTGTTCACAATAATGTACAGATTGAGACATTCACGGCAGCCCCGGAAAGAAACAGCCCCGAAATTCACAGCCCGCGGTGCCTCCTTCTGCACTCAAACGCTGCCCCAGCCTCCCTGCTACAGCCGGCTTCCTCCAACACAGCGGTGCCCGTGAGCCTTCCAACCTCACCAGCTGTAATTGGGGTTTTAGCTGGTTGCCATACAGTTTAATGCATACTTCTCCTTATCGCTTTGCTATATTTCATTGCGAGCCGTAAACCCCCGGCAGCTCCCAGGTTGCCTCCCCCGTCCCGCTCGTCACAGGTGTTTACAGACACGGGCGAGGCGCAGACAGAGCGGGATCACGGCACCATTGGGGCTGGAGAAGAGAGGCCAGCGAATCCCACCGCTCCCCGGCACCGCCACCGTGCCCTGCTCCCACATCCACACGGCTGCGGGACCCTCTAGGGATGCTGGCCGCACCTCTTACCTGTGCAGCCCTTTCCATACAGGAGCTTTCCCTCGCGTCCAGCCTGAGCCTCCCTCTAAAGGCTCAGACGGCGGGGCCGGGCCCCAGCGGCCGCCTCGCCCCGCGCGGCCCTGCCCGCCAGAGCACTGCCGCCCCGGACCGACACCGGCACCACGGCCCCGCCGTCCCCACCGAGCACTGCGGCCCCGTGCCCGGCGGCACCGCGCGGCCGTCCCGGGAGAAGCGGGGGGAGCAGCCTGCGGCGGCCCCGGGCCGGGAGAGGCGGGCAGGGGAGGGAGCGGGGACGGGCCGGAGCGGGACCCGAACTCACGGCTCGCGGAGCACGCGGGGGTCGGGCCGCGGCCGGCGTGCCGCGCCCCGGGGCCGCCGTGCTGGAGCTGCGGAGCTCCGCTCCCCAGCAGCGATGGGCCGCTCCGCTTCTGCCCCGGCTGCCAGGCTCTGCAGCCGCCGGCGCCGCGGCCTGACCTCTTCCGCCTGATGGACTGGTGAGTGTGGGCGGGGCGGCCGCGAGCCCGGCCGCCGCGGCTCTCACCCGCCCTGTGTCCTGCAGCGACCGCTCCTTCCGCATCGACCCGGGGCAGCTGCAGCGGCGGTTCCGGAGCCTGCAGCGCGCCGTGCACCCCGACCGCTTCGGCAAGAGGCCGCCGGTGAGCCCCGGGCCGGGCGGGGGAGCCGGGCCGGGAGGGGCCCGCGGGGCTCGGTGACCGCCGGAGGAGCTCGCCTTTAGCGTTGGGATGCGTGGCGGGGTCGCGGTGTCGAGTCCCCACGTCTCTCCCGCTCGGGGAGTGAGGGGATTCGCCTGTGTTTGTCTTTCGGTGCTCAGAAGAGGCTCTGGCACGGATTTGCGGTGGCGGCGGACGATGAGGGGCCGCTGCGGTTCGTCGGGCCTTAGCTGAGTGCGGTGCCACAGCTCCCCGCTGCACGGAGCCTTCTCCGTTCCACACACGGACCGATGTGGGGACGCTGGCGTTCCGCACGTAACAAAATGTATTTTGCCACTTGTTATCAGCTTCCGATTATTTGCCATCCGTTTGCAGAAAGAGCAGTACTACTCTGAGCAACACTCTTCCCTGATCAACAAGGCCTACCAGACCCTGCTGAACCCTCTGAGCCGGGGCCTCTATCTAGTAAGGTCTCCGTTAGGTATTGCAGTGTTCTGTAACTAACCCTGGGGGCTGGAAGGGATCCCACCCTCGATTCAGTCCTTAATGTGCTAATTTGCATTCCCCTGAAGAGAATCACCAGAGATTGAAGGGAGACCAGAACCAAGTTTCTCCAAAAATTAATCAGCATTAATCATTTGCTACGCATCTTACAGTAATTTGTCGTCCACATCACATGTAGTGTTTGGCCATGGCTGCTCATTCAGAATTTCAGTCTGACCCATGTCAGCCTTTTTTATGTGTGGTTTTCTGCTGATTTTTATGGTCAGACTATGTATGGAGTTAATTTTCAGACTGACACAGTGCACTGTAGGTTTATTGAACATGAATCTGAGTATGCCCCACTAAGAGGTGTTAGAACATGGGTTGGACTCGATGATCTTAAAGGTCCCTTCCAACCTAGAAATTCTGTGATTTGAAGAGACTTAATATTAAAGAAAATAGTTTCCATAGAAATGGATGTGGGAATATTTATTTTCAAATTCCCATTTCCTCTGCCAGCTGGAGCTGAGTGGAGTGGAGCCAGCAAAAGAGACAGACTGTGATACAGACTCATCGTTCCTTATGGAAGTCATGGAAATTAATGAGAAACTAGCAGAGTCCAAAAACAAGGATAACCTTGAAGAAATTGAAACTTCAATTAAAGGTAGGTTATGACTGGAGGGGTTTGTACAGAACTAATACACTGAATCTTGTGTAATACATGAGTCTGAAAGCTTTAAGCTGTGTTGGTATATTTCTTGTAATGTCTTCAGTTTGTGTTAGTCTGGAACTGACTCACTGCAAAAGCTTCTGCCCTGTTCCCCTCTTTTCCAATGTTGACTTTACCTATTTATGCACCTAAACATTACAGGTCTTGCGAACATTTGTATAACAGAACCTATTCTGATGTCAATCAAAATAAATATATATAGACAATAAAAAGGAATTTACTCAGCCTTTATCAGGTTAGTCAATTGTTCCAAAGAAAAAACCTGTCAGAATGAAGTTGAATAAAATGCTTGTCTGACCATACTGAATAATGTTATTTATACAGTTATAGTTCTTATGGTTATTTATGCATTGTAGTTCTTTCACCTTCTTCATCTGGCAGCTATTATATTAAGTGGTTATTCTCCTTTCACAAGCAAATTTCTTTTTATATTGTTGGTGATACCAAAAACATTTGGTTTACTGATATATTCTTTGCAATAACAGCTATGTGTTAAAAGCAATTACAATAACTAGAATAAAAACTGAGTAGCACAGGAGAAAATTAAGTGTAGCAGGGTAAACTGATATACCAAAAGTAAGTTAGATTGCTGGGAAATTAGTGACCATTGGTGTGCATTGGAATTGCTGTCAGTATGCCTGTTTAAATAAAGAAATACATGTTTGAAATGATAATTAAAGCTGCATTGACAGCAGTATAATGAAAAACTCACTTGGCTCCCAAAGGCTGAAACTAGTAATGAACTTTCCCAACACAGGCAGTCAGAATGCAGTGGTATCAAATATCCTAAGTATAAAAAAATAAATAATTTTTTTTGCAGTTAAGCAAGAAGAACTGACCAGAGAGGTCACTGCAGCTTTTGAAAAAGGTACCTATTTTATGAAGTTTTTACCTGCCATACATTCCTGTCAAATGCTTAAAGCTCCACATTCTCTTACTGGCAAATATTTCCTGAGCTATGGAATAGAAGTACTGCATTGACAATGGTTCTTTGTTAGGTATTTAGAATAAGTACTTCTAAACTGACATTCCTGCTGATTTGGGAAATTCAGGACCTCACATTAAAAGCAAAGTCCATTACAAAAGTTCCATTCATCTTGCATCTAAATAATCATTTTGAGAGAGAATGTGGATGCTAAGAAATTGTTTTGTGTGTTTCCCAGAATGCTGGGAAGGACAGACTTTTATCTTAGACATATTCTGAGGTTTCATACTTGAATTTGGGAGTGTTGTTCTGCACTCCTGGAGCTGCAGCAGAGCAGTGAGTGCTGTTCTTGGCAGTGAAAGCCACAGCTGCTGTGTGGCAAGTAAAGGCCTGTTCAGCATAAGGCTTTGGGGACTTCCTGTGCAGTAATCAACATAACTTAATTCTACAACGAGTGGATAGGCACAAGCTTGAACCATTCCCAAGCTTCTGAAGCTGGGAAGAAACCTTTGTGGTTGTGTGCCAGGTCCAGAATGCCGCAGGTTTGGCAGGGGTGGGTGTGTGAAGCTGTAAACATCACGGTGGTGCTGGCTGGGCCTGCCTATGAGGAGTTACATTTGTCTGTAAATCATAAATCACCCTCCCCTTTAACTGAGCAGAAATTGTTTCAATGTCAGTTTTGGAATTGGCACTGTCCAGACCAGACTCCTCCTCATTTGCATTTTTCAGTTATGTCAGTTGGTCTATTTATACACGTTTTAAACAAAAACATTTGTCTTGCCTAGTGGTAGATCAATACTGCAGCCACTTTACAGGAGTCATTAAAGAATATATTCATTCACATTTCTTTCCCAAATTGTTCATTGTTACAGGTTTTGTGGAACATTTGAGCTGACATGTTCCCAAACTATCTGAGGTTAAAACAACAGGCAGCATGGTTTTAATAGTGTGAGTCCTTGAGGCTCACAACTCTTGGTACTAAAGCAGGTGCTGTCATTGAAATCTTGAGATTCATTTTGAAAATGCCAATTCACCTCTCCCTCTGTAAACCAGTAATGTTTTATGTAATTTCAGATGATCTTCAAGAAGCCAAGAAGCTGCTAGCAAAAATGAAGTATTTTGCAAACATAGAGGATAAACTAAAGGCCAAGAAGATCCCTTCCTGATGTTGCCTTCTTAGCTATTAAGAGTTAGTATTATTTTCAATTAAACAAATGGTTTTGTTACCAAAATCAGACCAAGGGTGTTTGTTTCCTATACTTCCATTAAAAGCTTAATTCTGACAGGAGGAAAATAAATATAAAAGAAATCCCATGCTTGCTGCAGCACTTGGATAACAGATGGCATTTGGAAATGCTTACATCCAGGAAAAGCTGTACTGGGCAAGGTGGGCCACTGTCCTGGCAGTGGCAGAAATGGAAACAAATACCAGAGAGGCACACAAACTCCACATGTGAGATTTCTTACTTCCTAACATGTGAAGAATTTATTTTAATTTGAAAAAGAGCCCAGTAAAAAATACTGGAGAGGGGGCAGAAGGCTCTTTCAGCATGTCCTGCAGGCTCCCTGTAATTTAAAGGTTAAAAGTATTTAATTCCTGTCATCTGTCCTCTCTGCCACTTCATGCTTTTTGGTATGTAGATCTCAGTCTGATGGGAACTAACCTCCAAAACTAGAAGTAGTTTTACCCTGTTCCATGGTTTAAAATGTTAAGATGCTAGGTTAGGGGAAAAAAAATAACCAAATTGAAACTCCAGTCAGTCTTTTATCAGGATACAAGTTTTTATTACAAATACCACTAATCAGAGAGGTGCTGTACTTTGATTGCACAGTGCAGTAGTAGGACTGGATGAGGAATGTCTTTAAGGCTTTCAAAGTTACATAACTGGAAAAACAGAAACTAAATACCACTATTTCTACATAAACTGGAATATTTCAAATATCAGCTGTCAGTTATCAGTTCTTGTGTGGGTTTTAACAAGAACTCACCATGTTACACTCAGCAAAGCATTTGGATACGCCCAATGACCCAAACTGAAGACAGGGCTTGAAATAAAAGAAGAGTTGCTGAATTATCTGCAGAAATCTGCCAGAGGGGCTCACTGAACATCCTCCCTGGCATTTCTGCATCCCTACAGCAGCAGGTTACAGCTAAAGATGTTTTCTGTGGATAATACAATATATTGTTAATTGTATTTCAGCAATACACGTTTTAACAGCGTTTCAGCAGAACTAACGTGCCTTTAGTTACACTTCCTCTAAATACACAGGAAGCTTTAATAAGCCACTTGATCATGTATTACAAGGTTCATAATTCTCACCAAAGTTTGGTTGCATCTGTGAAATTATGCAGAAATCTTTAAAAATTCATCTTGAAGTTGCCTTCTTTCATAAAGCTCCGTTTCCTTTTTCCTGGCATTTCTTCCAAAATTAAGCTTGTGAAATTCCTTTTTGATTTCCAGAAAGGATTTGTTTTTTGTCTCAGGAATTATGAAGAAGATGAAAGCAGCAACAAAGAAGCACTCCAGTAAGAACACCACAAAACAATACTGCTTCAGTCCATTCTGAAAATAAATATGATTGCAACATATTTCAAGTGTAATAACAGTAGGTTTGAGAAAATAAGCTTTTTGTTTCCATTTACACTTAACATTGCTGCTCAGATGTTTTTCTAAAAGGAATCACTTAACCTAATCTTCACCTGTAACTTTTTAGATAAAGACTGTCAAGTGCTGTGCAACAGGCTTTTATTTTAAAAATAAGATAAACCATTTAAACAGTCAAATGTCACAATCTAAAAGTCAACATTTGCTACTTAGCTGTCACATATTTTTAAGAGTATATAATTTAACTTTCTCTGAATGTTAATATTTTTCCATACTGTACATTAAAAAAACCAACTATCTTACAGCTCAGCCATGAAGAAAGGACAGGCAGATCCAGATACCCAGATGCATGCTGTTCCTATCAGTTTTGCTGTCAAGAATATGTGCTAAAACTAAAAATACAAAGCTGGAGATGAAAACCTGTCTTGCCTTTCTTAATAATCTTCTGCTTACAGAACTTTGTCAGTTCAGCAAGTTCTCAGAGATGTGACTTACTGACCATAGGTATCACCTCAATGTTACTTTGCCATAAAAGCACAAGGCACTATTAAAAAATGTTTTATCTAAATCTCAGTACCTGATTAAGTTCTTCTGCTTTTGATACCTTCTCTGTTTTTTTCATCTGAACATGAACATTACCCTCCAGTTCATTCCTTTTACTTTTTTATTTGTCATGTTATATTGGGGTTTGTGAGGTGTAAAAAATACTTTTAGGAGGGACTGAATCTAGTTAAACTCATTTGAGGGGCAGTGTGCATCCTGGTCAAGTGTCAATTATACATACAAGTGAATATAATAAAATACAAGCAATGGGATGGAACCTGGGAGCAGGTGAAATGCAAATTGTGCTGTGCATACTCACCACTATGAAGGGAAAGAGCATTCCAACTGTGAAGAAACTAATCCAGCTCACAGTCCCTGCGATCATGTAGGCAGCAGGACGTGAGGACTGTACAAATAACTCAGCTGTCAGGGTGTTTGTTATGCCACCTGGGGATGGTTCAGAAACAGAACAGAGAATTGTGCTGAATGTCCATTTGAGGTATTTCCAATGCTACAAAAGATTGACTTGCTTTTGAATATGCTACTAGCTGATCTATTGTAATTCCTAACAGCACAGTTCTGAGGCTACTGCCCTTGCAGGAAGTTTCCCAGTAAAACACAGCCCCATTTCAGCAGCACAGATCAGGGAGCAGGAGTGTAGAACCCCTGTGCTCTGAAGGACAGAACTAAGCCCTCCCTCACACATAACTGCCCCAGAATCATGCATGGTAAGCCTCAGCTGTGGGCTACAGGATGGCCTCGCTTGTGTTCCTCAGCCAGAGCAGCAGCAGCTGTGCTGCAAAGGCTTCTTGGCTGTGTGACACCTCAGGCCTCCCAGACCTTCCCCCACTCACACACGCTCCTGTGCAGTACCTGGGCCCAGCCCAAAGCTCAAGATGAAGGCAAATACACACATCATGCTCATGTAAGGCACCCAGGAGTACAGCTCCTGAAACAGAAGACAATTAGGTTTAGTTCAGATTTTGATAGCCCAGTTTTAAAGTCTGGCTTAAGAGTTATGTTTCCTTCTGTATTTTATTTCAATTAAGACCAGCAGTCTTTCACAACTCTTTTACAGCCAAATTATTTAACAGTTCTGCTTCAGAGAAATTAAATAGTGTTCATTCAATGACTTGTACTAAACCGTATCATAGAATTATGTAATCATAGTGTGGGCTGGGCTGGAAGGGGCTTTAAAGCTCATCCCATCCCACTCCTGGCCATGGGCAGGGACACCTTCCACTAGCCCAGGTTGCTCTTAGCTCCATCCAACCTGGTCCTGAACACTTCCAGGGATGGGGCAGCCACAGCTTCTCTGGGCACCCTGTGCCACGGCCTCAGGGAAGAATTTCTGACACCTGATCTAACCCTACTCTCAGTTTAAACCCATTCCCCCTTACTGTGTAACCACTTGCCCTTCTCACTCCTCAGTCACACTGGGTAACAGGAACGAGTCCTTTGCACCTGGTAAGTCAGAGAGAAGGTCAGAACAGTGCACCAGAGCGTCATCAGGAGATAACCCCCAATGATAAAGGTTTAGTTCAGATTTTGATAACCCAGTTTTAAAGTCTGGCTTAAGAGTTATGTTTCCTTCTGTATTTTATTTCAATTAAGACCAGCAGTCTTTCACAACTCTTTTACAGCCAAATTATTTAACAGTTCTGCTTCAGAGAAATTAAATAGTGTTCATTCAATGACTTGTACTAAACCGTATCATAGAATTATGTAATCATAGTGTGGGCTGGGCTGGAAGGGTCTTTAAAGCTCATCCCATCCCACTCCTGGCCATGGGCAGGGACACCTTCCACTAGCCCAGGTTGCTCTTAGCTCCATCCAACCTGGTCCTGAACACTTCCAGGGATGGGGCAGCCACAGCTTCTCTGGGCACCCTGTGCCACGGCCTCAGGGAAGAATTTCTGACACCTGATCTAACCCTACTCTCAGTTTAAACCCATTCCCCCTTACTGTGTAACCACTTGCCCTTCTCACTCCTCAGTCACACTGGGTAACAGGAACGAGTCCTTTGCACCTGGTAAGTCAGAGAGAAGGTCAGAACAGTGCACCAGAGCGTCATCAGGAGATAACCCCCAATGATAAGGCATCTTCTTCCCACATAGTCTATCAGCAAACACTGTGGACAAGATAGAATCTTCTGTTAATATACTGATCTCATTTTTACCAATATTCTTCAAGGAGAATCATTACTGCTTGTATGGCAGGTAGAACAAACTGCTCCTTACACAGGAGAGGGCTGTGAGACATTCACACACTCCAGTGCCAAGTGTCACATATGGGATTTTTTCTGCCACAATCCCAGCTTGTTCAAAAACGTAAGTTGCATAGAAATAAATCTACAACAGAAAAAAAAAACCCAAAACCAACAATGAGGTTTTTCTGGTATTTAAAACATTGTCTGGAAACAAAGTCATGTTCACACTAAACATATAGATCAGTGTATTTTATGTTGTGAGTTACTAATTCAACATAAGCAGCAATAACAATCTGTTAAATTCATGTCTAAATAAACATATTGCTATCCTAAAAGCCAAGATGATTATTCAACTTACTGAATATGCTTTATATTCTTAAACCAGACACACTCGGATAAAGTGATTCACCTTTATTTACTTTTTCATAGGAATGTTTTTCAGAGGAAGTATCGAGTCATTCTTTAAAAAAGTTTGCATACCAGAAACACAGAAATGAGAAAAAAAATGAAAGAGAAACACCAAAATAATGCAAGGACATTCTTTCCCACCTATCACGTTTCGCTGAGCTTCTCTATGTGGATCTTTTAATAAATGGTTGAAAACCAGGTGGAAATAAAATCATTATTTAAGCTGTTTGTTCATGTGAACTCTTACAGCATTAATGCCACTGAGCTGTTGGCCCATTGTCATCACGATGACAGTGATGAGCTGCCATCTCACAGCACGGTCACTGAATAGCTGCCAGGGCTTCTTGGGTTTCTCCCCATCTAAGGCAAAGCATTCCCGCTGGATGTCTTCCATCTCCCTTCGATACTCTGAGGAGCCATGAAATCGTTTCAAAGCTACAAATAGAAAAAAATAATTTACATTTATCTATTAACCACAATCCTGGGAAATAATCTCTTTCCATAATGACCTAGCTTTTGCTAGGATGTGAAAAATTTGCTTTGTGACTTGCTTGTTCCTTGCTGTGTTTTCAACATTTTTTGCTGTGGTGGATTTGGAGAATTCTGTGGCATTTTTTTCCTTCTTTTTAGAGGAATATCTGACTTTGAAATATTCACCAGGCAAAATATCTTGTATCTGAACCTCAGACCTTCAAATAGTTTTTTTCTTAAATGACCAGTTTGAGGAGTTTTGCTTAAATTCTAGGCAGATATTGAGTCCTTTGTTATGGCCCTGACTTTAATGTTGCCAATGGGATGCAGTTAGTGAGCTGGAGCAAAGAGAGAAAATCCTTCTCCTAAGGCAAATATAATCAGAAGTCATTTGGATCCCAGACTGAAATCTTTACAAATGGTCTTAAAATTTAAAGACTATACAGCATCAGTTCCTCTAAAATCTTCCTGATTAAATATATCTCAAGTGACAATCTGTCTTCTTAAGGTTAAGAGTAGGAGTTTTGATGATCCTGATAATGAACTTTTCACTGAGAGTAATCAGCTTGGAGTTCCAGTCAATGAACTTATATTTGAAACAGGATAATAAAGTTTTGTGCATAACCCATTATGGGCTCCTGAGTTCCACAATCCCTTCTTCTATATAAGCTCACTGGAGGAAAAACATGGGCCAAAAAGTACTAGATGATACAACAGTGCTGTGTGGATGAAGATAAAATGAGAATCTGGAACCCAAAATATTCATTGTACCCTTCTGGAGAACAGAAAGTATAGGTATTACCTTTGGCACAGCTCAGCTCATCACCTCTGTCAATAAGAAGATATCTGGGACTTTCAGGAAACCATGGAAGGAATAACAGTTGGGCTAATGCTGGAATACAGCTGCTGGATAGCAACAGAGGCCAATGCTCTTCTCCACCTAATAATTCTCTGTGAGAAATGTGGAAAAAGAACGCAAATAAATATAATAATTAGCTACTGGTTACTATTTAGTGCAGTCTCTCCACTTGAAACTTCTAAGTTCCAGCTGGATGAAGGCCTGAGCAACTTCCTCTGATCACACAGGGACAAAAGCAGTGCTAGTGCTGTGATACAGAAGTGTGAGTCCTTTGCTCTCAAGCCCTTGCCAACATCCACTGTCTCCAGCAAGAAGTTGGCAGAAAACATGAACTCAGCTCAAATGTGGCTGCTTTACTGATGCTGCTCTGGTGACCCATCTAAACTGACACTACTCCCCTGAGGAGACAGCACTGATGGCTGGCAGTTGTAGGAATAAGGTTACTCAAGCAGGATTTTCTTCTCCCAGGAAGACCTTGTGTGAATTCTAATGCTGCAATGGCACAAGGAATGTCCTGCAATGTGCTGTAGGAAATTGGAATTCCTTACACAGGAATAACACAAAACAGGAAAAAAACCCCTCAGATATTTCTTACCTCAAACCAATTACTTGTCCTGTCAGAATTCCCCCAGTCAGAAAGATGGAAGTCCCCATGGCCAAGCCACCTCTTAGGTGTTTTGGGGCAAACTCCCCAATATAAAGAGGCTGCACACAGAGCCCAATACCTGCAAGTAAATGGAAAAAACATTTTCCTATCAATAGAAATTGCTTTGCAAGGAGTTACTAAACCAAAACACATACAAAATGGGAGTTAATTAATTTCCTATTCATTTAGTTGCCTTCAGATTCCAAGCTACACTACAGAACATTTTCATCATAAAACCTAAAGGATCAGAAATAATAATAACTTATCATTCACCATAGTTTATTGATAGTAGGAATATGAAATAATTCACCTGAATTTATGCCAATCAAAAACCTTCCAGCAATGAGTAACTCAAACAATCCTGTAGGAAAACTGATCCCCATTAAAATGGAGGCTAGTATTGCTATAATATTATTCATCAAAAGAGCTCCT